AATACAATGTTTATATCTCCTTGTTTCAGATGATGAGAGAGATGAGAACTCCTGACCAACCTTGTGGACTGAAAGTCAGGCTAGGGAATTTAAAAACAGGCACTCTTAAATGTGCATTGAAAATTGCCAGCTGATAAAACCTATTCTCCAGGGACTATATTCTTAAAATAAATGTAACTGGCCGAGTTAAATGATTAACACTAAACAGTAAGAAATCAGCCCTGTCTCCCCAGCTTTAAATGTCATTAGTAAGTCTTCTGTTGCTTATAATAAATTGACATGTTGATATCACATAAGCAGTCTTTCAGAATGCTCTCAGTTACATAGATGCATATTGTATGAATTAGTGAATGTGGTGGTGCTTATGGGGTGTCGCTGTGGGACGGTGAGTATGAGGCTGGGAGGGAATATCAGAGTATACCCACTACAAAAAACTAGACTACACCACTGATTACATGCCATCTGAATGAAGAACAAATGCAGACATGGGTGGCCATTAGCAGACCAACTTGGGACACTGAGGAGTGTTAAATGAAAGTGTCTAAACACTATTTGACTTTTAGTCCTGCCAGACATGCAAAACATTTTGTTCTCAGCAGATTTTCTAGGACATAGCAAGGCGATTCTAGGGTTGAGTGACTTGTGTCATTAACCTTGGCCGCTTAAATTCAGTATATCACCAAATAATTTGACAAATCTGGCCAGATTTTTTAAAATGACTGCATAATTATATTCCTTTCCATATGTAGGTAAAAACCAGTGCTTGTGCACCAGCTGCATTTGTAGGTTGCATTTTTGTAAGTGTTTTCTGTGGATGCTGATGTCATTGGTAATTAAAGAAGACTGAAAGTTCATGACAGCCATGTGACTGTGATGTGAGAGGTCAGACTATCTGCTGTTTATTGAAACAAAGCAACATCATGAACGCGTGCTTCTCTGAAGGCAATATATGAAGATCCTCCTGGTGTTATGTATGGGTAAGGTAAGATCTGGCAGAGTAGTCAAAATACGGAATCTCTATAGATTTAAAAAAGACAACCTCTATCTTAAGACTGAATACTGTAGGTTTCACAGATGTGTTTCTTTGTGTCAGAGTTACTGTAAAATTCTTGTTTAACCATAACAGACACTCTGAGAACACTTACAAAAATGACAGTGGTGTTATGTTTATCACCACTGGTATCAGATTATAATACCATGGTACTTAATAGCCTACAACACTGTAGATTACCATATTCATATAGCCTACCATGTGGCATGTCTGCTTTACATAGTACTCTAAAAAACTTTGATGAATTACATACATACTTTTATTTACCTGATTAATGCTGTAAATAATCATGTCCAACTCTTCGGTGGGTAGTTAAAGCTTTGCACGCATGCGCCCTAGTGGAAAACACAAATACTACACCTGCATCATGTCTAAATTGTTTTTGACTTGTTCGCCGCTGGTTGGCACTTTGTTATTCTACTCAATATTACAGTGTTACGCTGATCGATATAAATTCGCTGCCAAAAGCATTACAGCTTGATTTTGTTTTCTCTTAAAACACTAAATAGCAACAAAAACCTACCACAGCTCTTTCCAAACACCAGTTTGTCTCTACAGAATGCATTATGTCTAAAGGATAATTTTGAGGTGATTTTATCAAACCTTTAACAAATTTAGGATGTATGCAGATTTGTGTAACAAATGAGAATCCCTCAGATAGGCCTATTATGCCTAGTACATTGACTTTGACTCAAAAAGATTATGATTCTCAGTTTCGTTACCATCAACTGTTATAACTGACTATTATAATTCACTATAGTGAATGGGTAGTAGGCTATTTGGGGTAAAAAGCCCCTTTTGTTGTTAGAAAAGCCAAGACTAAGGCCCAAAACACTGTTAGGTTGGCACATGAAAAACCTCCGAAATACATGTCCATCTAATTTATTCCTATAATTTGTAGGGAATAGATTTGTTGGGAATGATACTAACATGTAGGCTAGGCTCTATAACACACTTCTCTGATGACTCTGCTGTGGTTGGGTGTGTCAGGGATGGGCAGGAGATGGAGTATAGGGCACTCATTAACAGCTTTGTGGAGTGGTGTGGAACTAATCACCTACAGCTAAATGTTACAAAAACAAAAGAATTGGTAATTGACTTCAGGAAAAGACACAACTTACCCCTGTCTGTATAACTGGCTGTAATGTGGAGGTTGTGGACTCCTACAAATACCTGGGGGTCTACATTGACAATACGCTTAACTGGACTAAAAACATGGAGGCAATATACAGAAAGGGACAAAGTCAACTGTATTTTTTTGCGGAGACTTAAGTCATTCAATGTATGTAGTAAAATGCTTAATATGTTTTATCAGTCTGTGGTTGCCAGTTCTCTGTTTTACGGTCTGGTGTGTTGGGGCACTGGTGTGAAAGGGGGTGATGCTAAACGGCTGAATAAACTCATCAAAAAAGCGAGTTCTGTCATTGGACGGGATCTTGTCCCTCTGGAGGTGGTTGCTGAGAAGAGAATGATGCACAAATTGCTAGTCATTATGGATAACACCACTCACCCTCTAAATGACATGCTTGTTGCATTAAGGAGTAATTTTAGTTGGAGACTGATCTTGCCTCGGTGCAATAGTGAACGGTATAGAAGGTCTTTTGTACCTACTGCAGTTAGACTGTATAACACATCTCTCGGATGCAGAGGCACCTTTGAACTTCTAGTGAGCTAGATAGTTAAATTTATTTTATATCTTTACCTGTATACCTTATTTTATCCTAAAATCTGAAGGGAAATGATCTGTTTTACCTGTATTTATTATTTATTTTTATCTATTGTATTTATTTTGTGTTGTATGGTTTATGTTTTGGCTGCTCATGCAAACCAATTTCCCTGTGGGGATTAATAAAGTTTATCCTATCCTATCCTATCCTATCCTACTAACTGATCCAATCACAATGCAGATTAATTTGTTGTGAAATATGTCTGTAGCCTACTGTTTGCAGATCCAAAATGAATTGAATAAATGAATTAATTGAATTTAGTATTCACTTAAACGTTACTCGAAGCCTATATGATATTTCAAAAGTAGCCTATTTTCATATTGATACAGATTATCACTACTCCTTTACCTACAATATCTATATGCTATCTGGGTTGTGCCTCAGGGGATTTTTTTTGGGAAAGAAAGAAAGAAAGTAGACTTTTCATGTTATTTTTTTAAATAAGTTAGGCCTAAATCTGATCCTATCCCTATAGATTTTAATCGGTCTATTTAGTTTCAAGTGGTTGTCCTCGTTTGGCCCATTGGGAGGTCCATACAGTGCATGTCGTTTTTTTTTTTCGAAGCCTAACTGAGATTAGTTAACACTGGAAACTCAGAGAAGAGTCATATAGCCGTGTGCTTTGCTCGGAACTGATTTATAACCTTTATTTGTTTAAGTTTTGCGCTCGGTAACATCATTCAGTTTAATCATTGACAGATAATGTGACGGGAAAAAGTTTGCCCTGCGGTGACGAGTGCAAAATCCACAGCAGCAGATGAGCGAAGACACGCGGAGCGCAAAACCTGCGGAGATTTAAATGCGCGCGGACCGTCACGCCACGGGACAGTCCTTTCACTCACCACCAGCGATATGCCACGAACTAGAGATTTCTGGTTTTCGGTTGTTGGTCGAGAAAGAGTAATCTAAACTCCAGTGTTGGGACTAGTGGGACACCGGTACGATGAGTAAACTCGGTCCTTTCAGTAATCTTGCCAAGTTGATCTCAAAGTCGCC